ATCGGCGAAAAACGATTGGACGACTATATAAAATCTCTATGTAAACAATGTTTGTTTACATAGAGATTTTATATAGTCGTCCAATCGTTTTTCGACGATATCTTGCCATCTACAGGGCCGATTTGGATGATCTAACCACCGTTAGATGCGCCTCGACGAGCTCTACAACTTTTAATTAGTGGGCATGTGTCGTTAACTTAGTAAAAAATATTTTTATATGCACGCCACATTCAGTATTTTATTAGTGCGCTAAAAGGTATTTTTTGATTGGATATGAAATTTGTGTAACATAAACCTATAATTCTATAAGTGCACACCCTCTCTAAGTGCATGCTAATGTCTGGTCCCGGAGGGGTGCACTTATGGAGGTCTGACTGTAATCAATTAGTCACCTATATTATTTGCAGTCCAATTTTTACATTGAATGATAAATCGGACTCCAGAGACTTCACAGATAATATCGATACCTCGGTCGCCCGGCCCACTAATAAATAAAATAATAAAAATTGAGTATATGTGTCATTATCAACTAACTAAAGAACTTGCAAGTCGGAATATTCTACGATGATGCTTTCAATAATTAGAGTGTATCTTATTCACCATAAATTCCCAATGCCCTAGCATACCGCGAGAACATCAGAAACTATAAGAGGAAGAACGTTCACTGTCAAAGCAGTGGTCACGATGCGCTTTCAATTCCTCTTCTAGATATTTACACAACAAATAACTCAGCGAGACCTCACCCTTTATCTATACATCGAATGCCTGCCTTCGTTAGAATTCTTATAATTTCAAGTTTAAGCTCTCTTCCTTTTTTATACGGCCATGCATACCATGTAACAAAAAACAAAGTTGAATTGTTAAATTCTTGCGAAATAGTGATAGTTTCAGTTTCTAATCTTTTTTTGCATTGATCTATCGTAATATAAGTACCTCCTAATTGCTAATTCAGTAACATAATGTATATTCATAATATGTATTTTGAACTGGATTGCACTTGATTTATTTCAAGAAAGAACCCATTTATATACAATTGTTACACTTAATTCGCCTGGCATAACCACCAAAATCATCAATGAAACATTAATTAAAATAAGATTGTTATAATTAGCTAAATAAAAGATACAATTAAAAAACGGCATAAAGTATGGGGCTTTGTAGTTGAAAGAGTCGAAAAAATATGATTTTGAGATAATCAAGTTTATCATGTTCTAATAATTCGGGGTATTTTCGCGCCGAAATTTATCAAATCTTGTTGATTTTTACCAAAATCTTATTGATTTTCAGGGGCAGTTTGCGAGATTATTATATTAGCTGCCCGATACGATAGTATCGGAGCAGGATTTTGTCTCGGAGTCTAATTAATTGATCGAACGATTATTGTGTTATCATGATTTATTGCTTGATATGCAAACGTTTATAGCGAAATGACGTAGCTTTTAATTGTATTGTGTAGTATTTTCGATTAGTAATCGTGGGAGTTTATCGGTATAATGAATTGCGTAATTTTTTCGATCTGGTGATCGTTAGAGTTAGTTATAGTAGCGACGTGATTACGTCGTTAGGGTTTTTAGAGTAACGACGAAATTACGTAATTTTTTGATTTGTAATCGTTAGGGCATACTTAGGGAATGGGTTTTTTTCCCAGACAAAATAATATCTGTTTTTTCTGCTAACCCGACTTTGTCTGGTTTTTTCGTCTCGCCCTCTCCCACCCCTCGTAAGGTGGCCTAACGAACATGTGGGATACGATATTTGGAATCTTTGGTGTATTTGATGAGTAGCCTGTCGGAACGACAGTGACATGGATGTTATCGTTTTTGTGCGAGTTACGCTCGGGTAGGTATCATTGCATGATAGGGCGTAATGAGCAAATAGCCATTGCTTAGTGGATTCAAAAGGGTTCGGCCTGTCGGACAACAGTCGAATCTTGGGTGTTAGTAGGTGGATTGACTTTTAAATAATCAAGCTTTTTTTACCAAATTTGCTTTATATTAAAATGATTTTATATTAGATACTAAAAAAAAAACTGTGTTAATTCAAAAAAAATAAAATAAAAAAAAATAAATAAAAAAAAAATTTAATTGTTAAATTTATTATATTAAATTTTTGGTAATGTAAATTAGTATTTAAAGTTTTATTTGTAGCATAATTCAAACACCATATACAATAATTGTTTTTTTTTTTCACAAAGAATCTTATTTAAAGAAGTATCTTATCAAACAATTTCTGTGCAAGACCAGTATTAAGAAGTTTTTTAATTCCAGTAAGACTGGTATTAAGAAATTTTTTAGTTTTAGCAAGACTAGTGCTAAAGAGCTTCTTAACTTCAGCAAGACTAATACCAAACTATCTGACAAAATCAGTATCAAGAAATTCTTCAACAAAATCAGTATCAATAATCAGAAACTTCTTACCAAGCTTTTATTTATACAGTACTAGAATTTTTAAAAGAACAAAAGACCAACTTCATCTCATCTTTAAGTATTTACAAAATTTCTATTGAGTTTGATATTGCAAACCAAACATTATATAATGTTATAACAAGAGGTAGAGTTTTAAACCACCATGTTTTCTTACTATACTTATAGCTAAAGAAGAAGCTAAAATTGTTAAATACTGTTTAAAGATGCAAAAAATCAGATTGGAGTTTATTAAAAAAACTGTCAATACAATAATTATATAAATCATTAAAGCCAAGAATCAGGATTATCTATTTAATAATTTGCCTAATACAGTAGAAAATAGTAAAACTGATTTATAAAGAAATATCCACAGCTTTTATTTCATACTCCCAAGAATTTTCAAAAACTTGTACTATAAAAGAAAATTCTGTGATTCTTAAGAATTACTTTGTAAAATTAAAAATATTATTGATAAATATTCTTTAATAACAGATAAAATCTAAAATATAGATGAATCAAGATTTAATATTTCTGATCAGTTACAAAAGGTTATAGCTAAAAAACTCTTACCAAGTTTACAAAACTGCTGTTAAAAACTCAAATGAATATATTTCAGTTTGTTCTACAATTTTAACTACAGGTATTTATATTTCACACTTACTTGTTTATAAAAGAGTTAACATTATTGAAAAATTATTATCAGAATTATCAGTTCTACTTGATATAGTTGCTAGATTTACAGATATAAATTATATACATAAGAATATTTTTAAAATATACAGTATATTAAAAATCAATTCTATCTACAAGACCAATTTTACTTATACTTAACAAACATAATAGTCATATTGATTTAATTAATATTAATTATTGTTGCAGATCATAATAAAATCAGATTAAAATGAAATAAGAGGTTTTTATTTGATTCTTTAAAACCCATTTATACTTGTTTATTATATATAAAACCTGCTTCTAAACTCTAATCCTAACTCTAAAAAAATGATAAAAAAATATATCTTAAAAATTTATATTTTTCGGTGACTTGTCTATTTTATACTATCACTTATTTTATTTTAATCTGATTTTATTTTAATCTGTCACAATTATTGCTAAGATAATAATATTTTATTATATATTTTACTATCAAACACAATCCACCTTCTTCAATCTTCTGAAATATTATTTAAAAAACTTAAAATTGAATTTAATAAAACCTCAGATAATTATAGATTTATTAACAACCAAAGACAAGTTACAAAATATTCATTTGTGTAAATTTTTAGTAAAATATTTTATAAAACTTATACTTCTTCTGCAATTAAAAATACTTATACAACAACTGGTATCTTTTTTGAAATTCTAATATTATTAATTCAAACTGTTTAACATTATCATTACCAACTAAAAAATTAAATTTGGTATTTTTTAAACCTAAACATAATCACTTTACAAGAAATTCTAAACTTGCATAGCTTAAAAAAGAAAATCAAGAATTATATGAACAAATTTAAAGACTTAAACATCCAGAAACTTGTTTATTGGCAACAATTATGAAATATCTATCTGTAAATATATCTTCAGTTCAAGAAAACCAGCAACTTGATCTAAAACTTTTAAATTTAAAACTTTAATAACTTCTAAAAAAATTATAAAAAAAAAATACAAAACAGAAAAAATATTAAACAAAAAAAAAAATAAAGTTAAGAAAGAACAAAAAGTAGCAAAAAAAGCAAAAAAAAAAGAAAGATTAAACCATAAAAAATAATAATCTAAAAAAAAAAATTTAGATTTTAGATTTTTTAGAGTAGTTTTATTAGATTTCTAGAAATAGGAACACGGTAATTAAATTTAAATAAATTTTTATAGTGTTCAAATTTGTTAGTAAAAAAAATATATATATAAAAATTTAATATATTTATATATTATTAAATAATAAATAAATAATAGTTTTTATATATAAAATTTTATAAAAAAGATTTAATTTTTAAATATAACAAAATAAAGTTCCCGGAAATAGGTACTATTACCTTATGAACTTTGTATAAAGTTTATATTAAATATATATTATATAAAGATTATCGTATAATAATTTTATTTTAATAACGATCTTACGCTTCAAATTAAAAATAAAATACAGTATGAGCATATTTTTTTTTTTGATGTATATATTTACCTCGGACATTATGTTAAGTTTCTTGGAACCACTTTGATTTTATGTTCCTTTTGAAAAGCAGCAAATTCTTCTTCTTTAGTTTTATATGATTGTACATATTGATCTATCGCCCTCTTAATCTTGAAAAAACAGGATCCAAATGAAATTAATATATAGAAGATTCAAAATAAATATGATTAAGCGAAAAATACACATACCCCATCGTGATTTGTTTGAAGAGCGGGTAACACATCTTTTACAGTACGTTCAACCAACACGCCACCCACAAGTCGAAAACATTTTCGATCACCGTTAAGAGGTGATATTGTATCTATTACAGCCCTTTTTTTAAATAAATTAAATTCATATACATTCACATTATTCAAAGCCAATAAATTTATTATTGTGAACATTACGTTAATTATACTTTACTTGTGCTCCTCGGCTTCAGCTTCAAGTTCACCAATTTTTTGAGCAATGACTTGTAGCTCGTTTTTCTTGTGGTTAAATTGAGCAGTTATCTCTGTTTTGAAAAGATAAGTAAACGTTAATACTAAAGAAATGTTTCTTTGAAGTCGGAAAAATACACAATTTTTTAACCTTGATCGGTAAGCTTAGATTTGGAAGATGACATCGTAATTTAAATCAAATTCAAGCAATATCGATATTGGGTATTTATATTTATCGCACCAAATTAGTTGCAGTCACATGATTTTGTGTGCATAGAATCTTACTCATAGGAAGACATTCGTATGACTGACTGTTTAAATCAATTTAATTTTACATTATTTATACAGTTTAAAGTACTTTTTAAAAAAAATCAAACTACGAAGAATA